CCCCAAAACCCCAAAACCCCAAAACCCCAAAACCCCTGCAGATTTCAGTTTATAGAATTATTTAGTATATATAGATTTAAAAGCGTACAAATATGACAGATAGATTTCAAGAAAGAAATATCCACCAAATGACTTCAAAAGCTGCATGCCAGAGAGGACTTAATGAGTCTTGTAATTCAGACAGATCTAGAAGCTTTGATGAGAAGGAGAAGAGGTATAAGACAATTCTGAATAACTCTGCATCTTCAGAGAGAGGATTTGCTCCTGTTCAAGGTAAATCAGGCAGCAAACTCAGTTTTCACTCTCCAAATAGAGGCTATGGATCGCCTTTTGGATTTAGTAATAAGATTTATGGAGGGATGAATTATGGTATGGCAGACCCTGATATGAAAGTAAAATCTACCACTAATGAAATCTCAGATAAAGGTTCAAATTATTTGCCGGACCAGTATGCTCATGCCATCCAGAGAGGAGATAAGATGAATCCCAGTACTTTTCCATGTTTGAATATTAATAACGATGACTTGATGGACAAATTTGATAGTGACAGTAGTTCAGTTAACAGTGAAGAAGCTATTTGAGTTCCAAAAGAATTTGTAAAATAATGATTTCTTAAGCAGTCAAGGAATCAATCATAACTTCATTAGTACAGATAATGAACAGATAAAGTTTTACAGCTATCTCTCAGGTCCTCCATTTCACGGAACTCTACCAGGGAATGAATTTATGATGCAAAATATTCATCCTCCCTTATTTAGACACTATCCTCTCTTACCTCCTGGTCCTCCAATAATGCAAAATGTCCCAATGACTCAAAAAAAATGAAAAAGATGATCAAAGGAATCTTCCTAAGGCTTTGCCAGAATCTTTAAAAATCAGCCAAAGAGACAAGGTTGTTTCATTTAAGAAAAGTACAGATCAGACTGATGAAAATCTTGAGTCTCAAACCAAACAGGTACTTCATCATTTCTCACAACCTGAAATATTATGAAATAGCTCATATCAGGATTTTCTGAGTATTGCAATTTCATTATCAGATTCTAGAATCTCATATCTGTTCTATAGCTAGCGAACCCTCAGCGTTTACCAGTAGCAGAGAAATCCACTAAAAGATGAAGCGGAGTTAAACAGAAACAAGTTGAGAAAACAAGGTAAGGATTCTCTACTAATTTCTACATTTTCCTCTCTTTTCAGCAAAGTTTTAGTCTGACTTTTAATCAATTTTAGGTCTCCAGTGCAGACTCAAATCTTATCGCTCAAATCTAAACAAACTGAAGAAGAGAAAAAGCAAAACTCTGTGAATGAGCTTGATGCGAAGTCTCCAGAGAAGAAGGATGCCAAGCAAATTCCAACTGATGATCCAATGAAGGAGGTACAGCCAGACACCCAATCTGTGAAGAAAGATTTAAATAAGCCTCTGAATGATTTTAAGAAGCAGAAGGATAAAAATACCTCATTGTTTTCAGACAGAAGTGATTCTGACTACAAATTAAACAACCTGTCTGTTTCCGAAGAGAATGGCAAAAGCTCAGTGGTCTACATAAGTTCTAGGGAGAGCCCAAATAATATTGAAAGTGGGGACTCCGACTATGCTCCTAGCGAGGAGAAGGACAAGAAGTTCTTCAAGAGCTCATTTTCTCAAGAAGTGTCACTCAAGACACTCAAGAATCAAGAAAATGGAGGTCCCAAGTACTTTATTGATATTACTAACACTCCTCATAGGAAATAAGAAGCAGAGACAAGATAACTCAAATAAGAAGAGGAGTCAGAACAACTCAGCTAAGAATGATAGACCTAAGAACCAGAATGATAAATCAGAGGACATGAGAAAATGCAAAATTTGTGGGAGAGAGTTCTCCCGCCAAGGTCTCGGAGGTCATATGTCAAGAGCTCATCCAGGGCAAAGCACCGAATATAGACAGAAGAAGCAAACTAGGAACGGGAGACAAGATAAGCTCCGCCTTCTACGTAAGGCCCAGAGGGTGTACAGAGTCAGAGACAAGTGCCCAAATATTAAAGGGACTGATATGAACAGAACTAAGTTAAACAAGATCCGTGACCAAATCAAGCAGTGGATGAATGAACACCCAGGAATGGACTATGATACTTACGAAGAAGGAGGCATATAATTTAATTTCCTAATCATGTAGCATATTTGTTTGCTAAAATTCCATACTTCCATAAATTTCTATTATTCATTCTAGAAAAGGGGTTTTGGGGTTTTGGGGTTTTGGGGTTTTGGGG